CAAGACACAGAGACACGGGATAGTAGCAAGAGGGCAACTCAGTGAATACTGAATGCTGAGTTCACCCACGTTTATTTCTCATACACTTTTATACCCCAATACAAAAGTGGGAAAGAAGGCAAAAGACTGCTTTAACATGATACAAAGGACAACTAGAACAGGTACTTGCTCCAATACTTGAGACATCAAGTCATTATTTCCTGAGCAAAGCATTAGATGGTTGGGCAGTGAATACATGCTAGACCAAGTATCCTGCAGGCAGTTGCTCCCTAAGTCAAACCTATTTCAAAAAAAGGAGCAAAAGTATGCTTGAATTCTTTGACCTGTGGTCTGGGTGGAGCAGATCTACCTCTACAGGCCATCTTAATGTCCAAAGCACCAAGAAGCCACACCCTAGGTCAGGGTGTGTAGTCACAGTTGCCAACAGCTTCGGAAGAGCAAACTAAGCTCCAACTCCAGTCTGACCTTCAGATAAGGTAGAACAGGCTCACATTTTGGGGTCTCCACACTTAATCTGACCTATTTCTCTTTAGCTACATTTTGCTCCAGAGATTTTTAACTTTCCTTCCTTCTGTGTATCTTACTTCCCCTGCTGCTCCATGGCTGGCTGGCAGCTGACTGGCGTCTGGCTCCAGGCTTGTCCCTTTCTTCCTCCCTCACTCTCTCCTCCTCTTGAGCCTAGATTTCTTCTACTTATTCTCTCTCCCTGTCAACCCGAACTATTCCTCAAATGCACACATCTTTACATAATTAAACAAATGCAGCCTAAACAGATGTAACACATCTTTTTATTGCTAACAAAGGCAGAAGAAACAACTTTGTTCAGTTAAAGTCATATTCCACAGCATAAACAAATGTAACACATCTTTGCTTAGTTAAAATAAGATTCTACCGTATTACGCCTAAGGTTTTACAATTATAATTTATATAATATTTACATATATCAAGGCTTTTATTTCTTTAATCTTGTTTACAATAATAGATCACTAGCTGGGAAGATGGCTCATCAGGAAAAGACACTTATGGCCAAGCCCCAAGACCAAAGTTCTATTTCAGGCGCTCTGAGATAGAAGGAGAGCACTGACTCCAACAGGTTGTCCTATGATCCTCCACTTATGCTGTGCACTCATTCCCATTCTGTCCCCACAAGCTAAATGAATAAATAAATGGAAAAATTGTTTTAAATTAAAATAACAGCTCATTGTTTTGTTGTGCCCTTATGATCTGTAGGCATATTTTTCTGATCTATTTTTTCTTACGATGAACTTAGTGAATTTTGCCATCAGAATTTACCACAGCTCATTTCATACGTTACTCATTGTTTTGTTTGTTTGCAGTAAAGCAAGGTCTAGAAAACTTTTGCCAACATCACAGAGCCTAGTCTTTGTTTTTAAAAAGTGTTTAGAAATACAGTGGTGTTTGGGGGATTTCCTCTCCTCACTGAGAAGAGGAAGTATGACTAGCGTTAGTAAGAGGGTAAAATTTAAATTTGTAAACACTCTAAATATTTTAATATAGATTAAAGATTGCACTGCTACTGGCTTGTCTTCTCCAAATGCTTTAGATCATATATTATTGAGATAAGGTTTTTTCATTAAGGAATATATGATATACATCATGGGCTATGTTTTGAAAGGAAGACAATTGACTCACTAACCAAAGAGAAATCAGTACTGACATTTTATATACTTCTTTCAGAACCCCTTTCTGTGCACGGTATTTTTTTCATGATTGTGGGAATATTGGATATACAATTCCATGTTCCCCTTGCTCCTATGAAGTAACTGTTACCCAAATCCCCAAGTACCATAGTTTCATGCCGTGCTAAATCTACTGCGTGCTTCATCCATTACTCACTAGTCAAACGCCAGTGTTTGGGCAGTTTAAAAAGCATTCCATGTGGTGTTTTTTTCTGAGATATACAGGTGCCTATTTTCTATTGAGGTATGTCTCCTACGGGAGAGCCTGCAATGCTATCCAAGCTGCTAATGAGTCACAACAGCCATACCAGGCTCACAGGAGCATTCTTCTGACAAGTTTCAAGCAATGATTAACTTCTCTGTGGAGGCTTACAGAGTCCATGGTAACAGCTGAGGAGAAAGATGTAGTCATCATTATCTTGAAATCTCACCTCGTTTAATTTATACAACTTTCCAAGGATTCCTTTTGGTATTTATGGTGTGTTTAATATGTATATTATTATACGTACACGTGGGTGGAGTAGCTGTGAGCAGGTCTTGGAACCAACTCGGATCCTCTGAAGGGCAGGAAGTGGTCTGTATCACTCGCTGTTCAATCTCTCCAGCCCCATATGCAAACACACGTAGTCCTGTGTTCACATCATCTGTATCTTTAGCCCCACCCCTTTCTGTTTGTTATTAGACTCAGATTCCACCAGCTTTGCAAATTTGGTACATATGAAACTGAACTCATTGCCTCTCTGTTACTTGCAATCAAAAAGTGTTTAATTACAACATAAGCTCCAGCTAAACAAAATCCCAGCATAAGACAGTGGTAGGGGGTATTCTGCCATTAGTTGAGGAACTATTGGCTTTTGATAGCATCTAAGAAAGGAAAAGTCAATTTTCTTTAACGGTCTGATCCCTGGTAGGTCTGCTACATGCCGGGGCCCTAACCCCAAGTCTAGCTGACAAACACAAACATCTCAATGGAGATGGAGAAGGAGGAACCAGTGTCAGTGGGAGAGGAGTTGGGGAAGAGTGTTGGGATAGTCTTTCTGTACACTTTGTATAGATATGTCTCTGCTTTACCTCATCTTCCTAAGGCACCTTCTGATTGGTTTAATAAAGAGCTGAATGGTCATAGGTTGGATAGGATAGGTGGAACTTCCGTGTGCAGAGATAGGAACTCTGGGAAAGATTCTAAGATGGGACATTCGCCAATTGAACAGAGGAACTTGGATGTATGGTCCTGCAGAGAGGTAACAAGCCATGTGGCAGAAAAGAAATTAATATAAATGAGTTAATTTAAGTATTAAGAGCCAGTTGGGAACAAGCCTAAGCTAAGACCAAGCTTCCATATTTAAAAAAAAAAAAAGCCGGGGTCTAAAGAAAAACCGTTTACAGAAGGGGGCATGAGTATGTTCACAATGCATTATATGAAAGTCTCGAAGAACTAATAAAAACATTCTTAGAATACACTAATCTTCAGCCAAGGAATACGCCTCTGGGAAGTTTGGCAAACACCCATACCACCCTATCCCCTGACCTTGGTTGTGCTTCCTCAACTGGCACAGTTTTGTTACTCCTACAAGTATCCTCTCTGTCTGCAAAATATATTGCTAATCTGTCACAACTTAAGGACAAAGGAAACATCTCAGGCATGCTTAAATGGCTCAGCGTAACACTCCCACAACAGCACAAAGGTTACAAGAATGGTTCATCCACTTCCCTCATCAGAGACTGTAATAAGATAACCCACTAAATTTAAGTGGAAAAATACTACATTGAGATTACATAAAGAACTTTTTAGTGTGTGTGTGTGTGTGTGTGTGTGTGTGTGTGTGTGTGTGTAAAATCTAGACTGTTTGCTTATTTTTCTAAGGATAGACTTTCAAATCCCAGTATACTCACTTCTCTATCTGATTGATTTCTTTTCTGTCTGAGAAGGTCATGTGTTTGGCTGATTTTCCGTGAGTTTGGCAGTAGGGCCAAGTCAAACATTAGCCACAGTACTTCAGTAGGCACAATGGGAACTACAATTAAATAATACCTGCCCCACAATTCACCAATGCACTCCCCAAAAGTTATCAGTGATTTTTGTGAAGTACACTTCACACTTGACCCTTATAATTCACATTGTTAGCTAACCCTCCCTGGATTGCCTTTCTTGCTTGTATAGATTTTAGACTCCTTCACTTTCTGTGTACTCTTTGCCTAGCTTTTCATCTCCTTTCTGTGCTGGTCCTGTTCAGTCTAGCTTATTAGTTGTCTTCCGTAGCTTCTACTTTACTATTCCCACAAGCTGTTGTTGTCTCCATGACTTTTAATTAACTCAGGTAGGATACTTACCTATGTCACGATTCGAGCAGAGGCTTTAACCCTAAACTTTATATTTTGATGCTTGACTTCAACATCCCAATTTCCTTACCTTTACCTGTCCATCTCCGCAGTGACAAATGTACATAAAATCCTTCCTTGTCTTATGGATTCTCCTTCCCCTGAATCTTCCACAGAGATGGTCACGCTGGAAAGTCCTGTCATCTGCCACCCCCTGTACCCAATCATCAAGCCATGCCAGTTCTAGCTCCTTGGCATCTCTGCTGCTTAACACTTAAAGAATTGATTGCAGACTTCAGTTCAACTTTCCTAACATTGATCTACCACATTTTACTTTTCTATAAATTATGTACTGATGATTTGCAAGAATCCAGAGCTGGCACGATGGGGAATCCAGTTAGAAACCACTGAATCCCAACGCTATCTTTGCTAATGCTGCTCACACCACGTGATACTGAGAAGGTTTGCAAGGGAGAGGGGAAAGACAAAATTTGATGGTTAAAGAAAACCAGAACAACTAACACCTCCATATTATTTTTCTTGGGGTCATCTCTGCTATTTCACAAAAAACGGGCCCCCAGTTTATGTCTCAGCATTTGCTTAATGCCTTATTCTAAGATGATTTACCGGACATTTTCTATCTGTTAGGCTTTCTGGGAAGGCAAACACACTATCATTGCTAGACCTCGTCAGAGTACATCAGCACTTAAAGGGGTAGACTTTGCAAGTCCACATCTGCCCCATTGTTTGGGAAAATGACTTAGAATGCTTTACCTCAGTTGAATAAAAAGGAAAAGAAATGATCACAATCTGTTTTGGTCATTGCATTAATCAGATATGGAAAACATTCTGATAACTCTGTACTCTGCTAAGCACTGTTAACACGTTATCAAGTAAAAGTGTAGAAAGTGTTAGCTAAAGTGAATTTTGAATCGTTCTAGTTGCCAAGTTTCTAGAGGTAAAATGAAACAACACCAGGGCTCAAGCACGCCCATTGTATGGAGATTTTATATTTAATATTGAATGTATACTTACTTAGAGAGACATATATACATGCATACTGTAGATGCCAGATTAGGGCACTATCTGACACCTAGCCATTAACACTTTCTACTACAAGTAGGAACTGAAGAAAATTGCTCGGGGCTGGAGAAATGGTTGAGGTATTAAGGGCTTCTGCGGCTCTTGCAGAGGACCTGATTCCAGTTCCCAGAGCCCAATTCAGGAGGCTCCCAGCAACCGGTAACTCCAACCTCATAACATCCCAGCCATCCTTCTGGACTGTAAGTGAGCCTGCACTCACAACTGCACATGCTCATTCATAGACATGTAATAAAAAACGTTGATTTGCCTAAATCAAAACGCTTCTTTCCCTCAGGTCCACATCCTGGAGAAGTTACTGTGACTCATGCGGGAGCTCTGCCCCCAACATGCCAAGACATTTGACATGTCTTTGGGGCCTTCAGTTCCCAGCAAAATGTGTGAAGTGAATTAATCCCTACACCCCACCCAGTCTCTCCAAGGTGAGGGTCTTCATTGCATTTGCTCTTGAATGAGGGTATGAAGCGGACTGGCTTCCAGTGGTTCAGGCTTCTGTGAGACTGGCGTTTGAAACCGGACTTCACGAGAAGCAGGGGCAACCTCGCCTTATTACACTTAGTAGGCACAAAAGGCAAGCTTCTGTTTCCCAAACAAATATACCACTCACTTCTGCAGAAGTTTGTGTGAGCCTTACTTGCTCACAATGTAGCAATCTTCATTGGCATGTAGGGTGTCAGGGAGGATTCTTCGGCAGTGTTCGGGACTCTGGAGAAAAACATTTGAGAAAGGGACATCTTCACAATTCAGTAGTGAAATCAAGGCTTGAATATCAGGTTCCTGGTATATCCTGGTATGCCGAAGGAGCTCCATGGCTCCTCTTTGCCCTAAAAATCAACCAAGAAGTTGGTATTAGGGGAATCACTCCTCTTGGCCTGAGTCAAAAGTCCCGGCGACATACAAGCCAACCCACCGAAATAGAAAGGTCTGAGCCTGGTCTTCAGCTGGACGCAAGCCTGCTACACCCGTCCTGGTGCTAGGCTTTGGGGAAACTGAGTCCCCACCACTGGACAACTCCTCAGGGCCCCGCCCCCTCGCTGCCCCGCCTCTCACCTTGCTCCGGCCGCGAAGGTGCGTGCGGCGCGCGCTGATTGGCGGCTTCCTGGCACTGCCCCGCTGCCATTGGCTGCCAGGGCCTCTTTGTTCCAGATCCCAGCCTCAGCCGAATCGGGCTGCGGAAGTTCGAGGGCGCGGTGTGTGTGTAGCTGCGGCGTCGGCGCCCGAGTCCCCGCAGCGGAGCTCGCGGACGCGGGACCGAGCCCCTCCGACGCCCAGCATGGACCTTGAAACCAAAATAAAGAAGGTGAGTGGCGCGGGCGGCGGCCCAGGTCGCCTCACCTGAGCGCGGGAGCTGCCCCGTGTTCCCGATCCAGATCCCGGTAGGTGCGGGGAGAGGACCACCCCGCCGGCCCCGAACCTTTGAGGGACTGTCGCCATAGGGCGGGACCCTGCGAGCCGTTGTCACCGCGCCTGAAACTTTCCGGAAAACCTTTCAGCCACGCCTTCCCCAAAGCCCAGGGTGAGCTCTGGGCGACGGTGCCTGACAATGCTTCCTGCCTGGGGAAGCTGCGCTCTGGAAAGCCGGTGTGGTTCGATGATGTGGCTTTGACAGCCCCGACCTCCTCCCTGCAGCCTGGCTGCCCCAGGCTCTCTAAAGTGTCTGCTGACTCGCGACACTTCCTTCACACCCGCGCTTGCTGATAACTTGTGAAGTGATGACTTTGGGGGAAGTGTGTGTGTGTTTCACTGATGGACTGAATGCCAAAATACTGTCTCCTTCTTGAGAAAATGTTTGGCCGCCAGCTGCACACAGCGGTTGTTGCAGATGCTGGGGAAACACCCCCATGACTGTTCCTGGTGTCCAGGCTAATAGCGCTACCTGAGGAGCTCCGAGATTATGGGGAATCTCTCAGGTCGCCTGGGAGAAAGGGGTGGGGATCAGACTATGACTCAAAAGAACACTGACGTCAAGTTCTATTGTAACATTCGACCTTAAAGGTCTTGTTCTAGGGAATTGTGCCTGTTTACATCGAAGTAAATTTAAGCTAGTGATCTTTTATCAAATAGGGAAGGAAGTTGTGAAGAGTAAAAAGAAAAGTTGAGAAAACTTTCTTGTCTTGCTACCTTACAGTTGCCGGTTCATCTTCTAAAAGAGAATTTCTATTTTGTGCCCAGAATTGGATTTTTAGAATTGTATGCAAATATAAAGTATGAGGGTAGGAAGCAGTTGACAAATAGATGTTTGAACCTAGAAAACACTTCCCTGGTCCTGTCTGATTAAAATCAGCACTCAGAAGGGAAGTCCAGAACAGGAAACATAAAATACACGCTTGTCTCTTCCTGTTTGGTGTTTATTCCCTTAACGTGTTTTCTGGTTAACCATGCTTCCCTCTTAGAAACCATTTGATGGGTTGTGTAGTCTCTTATTATGAATACTGAACTCACTGAGTGTTAATGGAAGAACTGCTTGAGGCATGTATCTCAAATGGGAGGGTATTTTTGCTTAGAAATACTGATTTGAAAACTGTTCTGTAAAAGTGTGAATTCCTTGAAAGTAGAGAGGGGTGAATAGGCAAATCGGAGGATAATGACGCTGTTGTGTGTAATACTGTCCTGGTATGTATTTGTCAAGCCCCACAGGATATACGGTACCAGAAAGGAACTCCGATGTGGATTTTGAACTCTGGCGTTAGTGATGTGTCTGTGTGTCTCATAAATGGCCATCTCTGAAGCACAAGGTTGATAATGAGGAATGGGCTGGACATGTGGAGACAAAGGCCAGTAGGGAACTGAGCTTCCGCTCAGCTTTGCTGTGGACCCAAAGACTATTTTTTAAAAGTATTCTATTTTTTTTAAAGGCAATCTTTGAGACAATAATTCTTAGAGGAAAAGTCCAAAACTAAGAATTATTTCTACTTGCAATGGGTTTAAAAAATGCACATCTTTAAAAGCACTTTCCAGCAGTCTGGGTTATAATAAATATTCTTTTGAAATATGGCATAGCTATCCCCCTTCATTCACCCTTTACTTTAAAAGGATGTCTTTTCAACCAAGTACCCTAGCCGTCTCTGTAAGCTTACTCCTTCCCATTCCACCTGAAGAACAGGTGTTTAAAGAAGATGTTTCAGAAGTTTAAAGAAAATGAAATTACAGCAGTAAATCCTATTTGATGAAGCTCTTGCTCCCAGTGATGCTTAGAGGGTCCTCTCTCGGTGATGACTAAGACACCCAAAAAGTGTTCCATTTGACTGCCGACTATGTCCTTGATCTACCTTCCTAAGCTGATTTTAGTGGATTGGATAAAAGGTTCCCCAATGCAACACCCTTTGAAGATTCTTGGAGTCAGTTTTACCCTGTAAGCCATAATCTCAAAAGAAACACTTTTAAGAATTGCTTTATTTAGAAGTTGCTTTCAGACACACTTACAGAAAGAAAGATTACAAGACTTCTTCCCTCACTGTCAGATCTTCTTAGGTTGCACAAGAAAAGCCATAATTTGGATGTACTTTCCAAACAAAGGCAGTTTGGAAATGGAAATACAGAGGCATTTAAATAAAAGTCAACTTGACCTGTAGCTGAAGAAGTGTGGTATTTTTCCCTTTCAAGGCCCTTGCGTTTCATTGTTGACTCCAAAAGGAATTTTCCCCAGGCAGATGGAAAATGTTATTTATTTCCCATATCCTGTAAAAAGAAATAAAGAGGGCAGTCTTTACCTTTCAGTGACCTAGGTGGGTTACTCTATTGTAAGAGTTTTGGTCGATAAAAGGAGAGATTTCTCCATATACTTGCCCTTGGGTTGATTAGCAATTGCACACCACTATCATGGGCCCTTTGGGTTTCATGATTGCTGTTTTGCTATATTTTGTTTTGTTTCAGGCGAGTGAGCTGTTTCTAGGATGTGGAAGCTGGTTTGTCTACACAGACTTTTGGTTTAGCAATATTTTAGATGAGAATTTGACTTTTATGTTTACGCCCTGTCCTCCGAAGCACTCAGCTGGACCCTGTCCCTGCCTCTTGCATCCCTTTTCCTGTATGTAAGTAAAAATCTGTGTCTGATTGCAAAAATAAGCAATGGCTCTGAGAGGTGGAAACAGCCTCATTTTCATGTTCAATTGTGGCCCATCACCAGCTGCTTTCCCTTGGTGCCACTTTGTCCAGGAAAATCAACTTTTATTCTAAAAAAGATACCAAAGAGAAAGAAAGACTCCGGGGATTGCCAGTATACTGCCTAGAATTGCTGCCGGGGTTTGATTCTGCTGTATTTTGTAAACTTCATTTGAAAATCTATCCTAACATCTTACATGCTTTTCTTGAAATTCTTTGTTTCATTAACTTTACTTTAAGAAGAATGAGATGCATCTTATATACGGAAGGCCACTAACAAGAGCGAGAAAAGTCCCTCTCTGCGCTCAGATTTGTTTAAAAAGCTTTAATTATTATCCAGAAGTGGATAGTAAGTCCAAGTGACTGGAGCTGGAAAAGATTCAGAACAGAGATTACTGCATTGGAAATGAGAATGAGCCTTTCCTCATAGGTAGCCCCTTAGTTGAGTGAAAAAAAGCAACTATATTGGAATCTTTTGTCCCTCAAATCTAGTTAGCTTTTCTGCTTGAAGCCTTTCTTGGTATGGGAAAATGTTGACAAAAAACTTACAACTCTCACCAGATAGGAAGGGAGGAAGGAGGGAAGGAAGAGAGAGAGAGAGAGAGAGAGAGAGAGAGAGAGAGAGAGAGAGAGATTATTCTGGAGCTATTTTGAGTGACTATGGCCCAGGAATACAGATTTAAGTTACCCGATATTCCATGTTCCAATGTGGAAACACTTTCATGATAGTTTATAACTTTGCAGTACAGAGACAGTCATAAATCAAGGCAAGTCTAAAATATGCCAGAGATGCAGTCATATCAAGATGAGGGAGGTTTTCTGTAGGCCAAAGATACAAGATGACATCATGTTGGGAGGTTCCTGTAGGCTGGAGATTGAGGATACTGTCTGATGACCTCATGTTGAGAGGTTTCTGTAGACCCAAGATTCTGACGGCCTGCTTAGCTTTTTGAGTAGGTAGAAGCTAGTCATCTGCTAAGTTAACAGATTCCAGAAAGATTTCTGTCTATTAGATGTTAGTTCAGATTCAGATGGGCTGGGAATGGCTGTTCCAGAGGGCTTGAACTAGCCCAAGATAAGGTAAGGCTTCGGGCCTTTAGGTGGGAGGAGGGAGGGGGTCAGCATTCCAATCTTTCCGTAGTGCAGCATTTCTGATCAGTCCATCACTTTCTGCAGACACAGCTTGTTTCCAGGACTTTTTGTTCACAGAGCACTGGAAACACATTTTCTTCAAGTGTCATCGACACGCATTGGAGTAAAGGGAGATTGTCTTTAAAGGTAGACGCTCCGACTCAGAAGCCATGGAAGAAAGTAAAGTGCCCCAGCTAAGCTGTTTCTCTTTCTGTTGCTCTGGTCAAGTGCTCCCACAACAATAATATAGCAGAAAGGGTTTATTCTGGCTCATAGGTCAAGAGTCCAGTGCATCACGGTGGGCGAGTCATCACGGTTCGGAGCTTGATGGAGTTGGTCAGAGCAAAGCAATGGTTAGGAGACAGAGAGCCATGAATACACTTTGCTCCTCAGCTCTTATTTTCCATTTATACATCTAGATACAAGCATAGGGAAATGATCACCTACTGGCGTACTAAGAGCTCCATCTCCCAAGGGAGGCAGAGGCAGGAAGATTTCTGTGAGTTTGAGGCCAGCCTGGTCTACAGAGCCAGGACAGCAAGGGCTCCACAAAGAAACCCTGTCTCTTGGGAAGAAAAACAAAAATAAAAAAGGCAAGGAAAAAAGAAGAAATTATGTTTGAAGAAGTGATTTCTATACTAATAAAATTACCAGCTATCCTACTGGTTTTCAAGGTGTGGGCTTAAGTCGGTGTTTGATGTATACCCATTAGTGTTAGCTGACAGATAGAAGTCTACAAAAGTAAAAGGCTCATGAAAAGGAATTTCTGGGAGACTTTTACAGACAAAGAAACTCGAATAGAATTTCTCATCATATCTTCTAGAATTCTTCCAACTTCTCAGTTTGTATTGGGAGCTGAGAGTCCATATTCAGTGAGATCCTCAGCAGTAGGTGGCCTGTGTTGGGCTCTCTGCTTTGGGAAGTCAGACATA